GTGTGTGTGTGTGTGTGTGTGTGTGTGTGTGTGTGTGTGTGTATGGGGGGGTAATGTGGCAAGCACTGCAGTCAGAGGGTGTGTGTGTATATATGGGGGTAATGCGGCAGCACCACACATACACACACACCCACACCTCGGTTCCCTTCAGCTCAAAATGGAAGTGGCTTAGTTAAGGGTTACTTTCCTCCTCCGAATTGATGCTGCAGCCAGAGCATACTGGATATGCTCATCCTTATCCCTAAATTGTTCCTCTGTAGCCCTTGTTAATCCCACAGCAAAGAATATTTCTGATTCACCTTTGGTGATTATTTGCGGGAGGTGTGTTGGAGGCCCCGAGAATAGGGGTTCGGCATGTTTATTGAATAAAATAGCCCCTCTGACCTGCCTTGTCATTGCTTAGGTGACTTGTCAGCCCCACGTGACTGGGACCTGCCTTGGGCTTTTCTCTGGGGAAATGTGCTTTTCTAATGCTTATTGAGAACTTTCTGTTAAAATGGTACCACAGTTCTCAGCTCTGTATATACCCTTCAGTTATGCTCAGTTGCTTTTCACTGAACTCCTATTCCCTGTGATCTGGGGGCTTTTAGCTGAGATGAACCTGGGATAAGGGACTTGGGAGGACACTAAAATCCTCCATCAGCATCCCAGTAGGGGAGAGGGGTGGGATCTGGGCTATCAGCATTGGTGGGAACCCCTACAACTAAAAGCAATCCATGTCTCTTCAGGAACCTTCTCTGTACACAGTCAAAGCCATCCTGATCCTGGACAATGATGGAGAGCGGCTCTTTGCCAAGGTGAGAACACAGGCAGATTTATATGCCTCGAGAATGCTGCCCCTGCTGTCCCGTGTCTCCCCCCCCCCCCCACTCCCTCAGGAGTCAGAGCTTTGGAGCGTTTTCCCTTCCTTGCCCTGTAGGCCTTCAGATATTTCCTCACAGGTGCTCTTCTTCCGCCTCATTTTCTCTGCCCTTTAGTCCCCTCCTTTAACCTGTTTGTTTTCTCCTTTCACCCTGGAGAGAATGCATGCTGCATCTTTGATTTTTTTTTTCCAAATGGCTAGATGTATCACAATCTGAACAAAAATCATCTGTAGGGAACCTCGAAGTGCCCAGAACCTCAGGGTCCCTGTCCCTGCCTCCCACCCTTCATCTATAAGCCCAGGATTTCAGCTTTGTGTCTAGAATCACCGTTGGCCCAATTACCCTTCAGCCACCCCAGCATAGTGTTTTGGATCTGGTGAATGAGAAGGGAAAGGATGCTGCTTCCCCTTCCCTTGTTCCACCCCCAACCACCTTCTCCCCCTTCTGGAGAAATTCCTTCTGTCCCTGGTGTATTAACTCTGGGTGAGCACAGCATAAATCAATCAGCAGGTAGAGATTAGTTTAGAATTCACCAGCTGTTCCTCCCTGTAATTGGATGTAACTATGCAGGACACCTTTTGAAACAGTTATCCAGTTACTAAATGCCAGATCTGTCATAGGTCTTCAGCTGACTGCGACGGATTGGCCCCTAAAGAGCAGAACGATTTAGCAGTCCGGGTCCCTGCCCCCTTGTCAGTGGGCTCAGTAATGTGTCAAATTGGCTCCTGATTCAGTTGCTTTTAGAAGTCAAGCTCTGGAGAAATGGGAAAGCAAAGAGTATGGTTTGCTTCTCGTTCAGGAGGTTATCGAAGCCTTTCTCTAAACCTTAGCTCCCCGTAGCGATGAGTGGGAACTCAAATCTGAGAGAGACATGTATCACTATCTCCCAGGGTCTTTTGTGCCTGTTGGTGACAAAGGCACAATGTTTATTGAGCTCCCTGGAAATCAGAAGGGGTCAAGCTGACATTTCTGCCAGCACTGCAGCAGCTCCCAGGAAAAACTTGACTGGAATGGCCTCAGGAGTTCTTGCCTGGGGTGTGGGAAGGAGCCAAGGCTTTTCAGCTGCCTTATGAAGCCATTGCTTCTGGTGGGACCCCTGGCTTGGGGGCTTTGTGGGAGGGCTCTTCTCCCTCTGCCCTTCAGTGGAAATGTACAGGGTTACCCTGCCTTTTCCTTACCCCTTTTTTTTGGTTAAGTGTTTCTCTCTGTTTTCAATGTCCTCTCTTCCCTTTGCTGTTCCTCTCTCCTAAGCTGGGAGTAGAGGGGTGGGGGGTGGGGGGCATATGACAGAGGAGGACTGTCTGGTGTTAAAATGGAGAAGACCCCAGAAGCAAAGCAGTCAGCACTCAGTTATTTTTCCCTAGGCACCCTACCCACCTCCCCCAGTTTTTCTCACTGCCCCTTCCTCTTCCCTCCCACCAGTACTATGACGACACCTACCCCAGTGTCAAGGAGCAGAAGGCTTTTGAGAAGAACATTTTCAACAAGACCCACCGGACTGACAGTAGGTTGTTTCCCTCCCACCCCTCTGGAGCTAGGATGGGAAGCAGGGGCGGAGAGGTGGGGCTGCCGCACCGAAGGAGAAGAGGAGGCTGCTGCTCAGCCCCCCCCCCCCCATTCCTCCCCAATAATAAACTCTTCAGAAATGGAATGGGGAGGTGAGTGTACCTCACTCGGGAATACTGTACTGGAAGGTTGGCTGTTAGCTACCTGTCTGCTCCCTGGATTTATGAGCCTCACTTGACAAATTTAACTGCAGCTCTGCTTATTGTACCGCATCCATTAGGGCAGGTAAATGGAAGTCTGTAAAGGTGACCGCTCTGCATTTTCACCTCCAAAGGATTGACTGGTTTCCCATCTCATCCACAAGAAAGGAAATATGGGGAGGCAGTGGGAGGATCTGGCTAAACTCCCCTTGGCTGTACCCTCCCACCCCCAACCCCTATCTCCAAAGGGGAGAAAGAACTTGATTTTAGGAGCTTATCCCCCCTGCCTTGCTCAAGCCCTTGGAGGCAACTGTGCAGCAAACCATATTTCAGTTGTTTGGGTCCCTGCATGGTGCCTCCTCTTAGCTCCTCCTTTCATTGCCCTGGGCCCTCAGGTCATCCCTCTGTCTGTTTTCCAGGTGAGATTGCCCTCTTGGAAGGCCTGACTGTGGTGTACAAAGGCAGCATTGACCTCTACTTCTATGTGATTGGCAGTTCCTATGAAAACGAGGTAAGGTCCCTCAGTTCCTGGATTGTTGGGATAAGTCCACCTGTTGGACCATCCCTCTTTTCCCTTCTCAACCCGGAAGACAATTTGGAGCACTTTCAGCACCCTGGCCAATGAAGTCAGTATTTACAGCCAGTCTCAAAATTTCTTCCATACTTTGAAATGTCAGTGATTTCCCAGTTGCAGGTACCCTTCATTTGTTTAGATTGTCCTGTCTCCCCCACCCTCCCTTCCTAGGAGAGGCTGTGAGGTCCAGGGAACAGAACTTAGCTTGGAGGCTGGAGACCTAGGGGCTGTCTTGAACAGCCACTAGCTGTGCAATCTTGAGCAGGTCCCTTAACTTCTCTGAGCATAGTTTCCTCATCTGTAAAATGGGACTAATAATATTGATATAATAATATCTACCTCACTAAATTGTTGTAAGAAAAACAGTTTGTAAACCTTTAGAGTGCCATAGAAATGTGAGCTCTTTCTTATGTTATAATTGCTGTCTGTTCTTCGTTAGATGCCATGGACAACCTTCTGGTAACGAGCCTCTCCAAACTTAATTAGCCAGGTCCTTGGATGACAGAGTCCATCAAACTGGCCCAAATTAAAATTTTTCTAGTCTGGTAGGACATCCTCCCCTCCCTAGGAACTTGTGCTCTACTAGCATAACCTTTGGGGGGGGGGGGGGTCATCTCCACACCAGAATGGTACATTGGAATAGGCCTTTGTTAGTAACTATTATTCTGTCAGCTTGAAGGTTTATAAAGTATTTTGCATTCTTTCTCTTATTTAATCCTTGGGAGGTGTAAGAATGCAAGTAGTATTTTCTCCATTTTACAGATGAGGAAATTGAGCTCAGAGATCACCTAGTTAATAAATGGTAGTCAGGATGTGAACCCATGTCTTCTAATTCCTTGTCTGGTGCTTTTTTCATTATGTCACATTAATAGAAGTTAGCCTCATAAACAAATTCAGAAAATGGACCAGCCGGAAAGATCTTCCCAAAACAATCTGTCACCATCAAGTAGGAAACATTGTTCATATTTTAACCATTTACTTCTGTGTACAATACACAAGCTCTTTGGTGAGGGGCCATCACCATGCTTTATCAGGATAAGGAAGGTAAAGTGATGAGTGAGGCTTTTCCAAACTTTGAAATGGCCAACCTTGGATCGAATTTGCTGGAATCTGGGTCATTTTGTCCACTCCTTGGTTCATGCCGGTGATGAACCCTCCCCTTCTCGTTGCATCATGTTTCACCTTAACATATCATCTCATGGGTGGAGGGGACATGTAGAAAATAGTTAATTGGTTCCTCACAGGCTGAGGTCAGACCTTCCATCCAGTCACCCCAGTTGAGGGCCCCCATGAAGGCAAAGGCATGACCGAAGGGTTCAGACTAGACATTCTGAGTAAGAGTAGCTAACGGTCACAGAATCTTCTCCCTCTAATCAGCTCTTTCCCAATTCCCATGTTTTGGGGCTTCTCTATGTGGACCATTTCTCTCTTTCAACAACATTAAAGGATTTAGTTCTCAGAAAGAGCTGATGGTTTCTAGGCCCCTCACCAAACCTCTGCCTTCCTCTGTTTCCTCTCACAGCTGATGCTAATGGCTGTTCTGAACTGCCTCTTTGACTCTTTGAGCCAGATGCTGAGGTAAGCCAGGCCATCTCTGGGGGTTTGGGGTAAAGCATGTGACTGTCCTTTAGGACCCAGTGCACCTTACTGGGAATTGTTTCAGCTGAAGTTCCTAGGGATGAGGCAGATCTACCCCATCGATTCAGATTGTGACAGAGTGCCATCTCCTATGAAGATAGTCTTCCATTTAAAAAGAGGTACAGCAGCGAGCCGAATCTGCAGCATCCTTTGTACGTCCCAATCAGAGAGCTCCTAGTAATTTAAAAAATAATGGTTCACATTTCTGTAGTTCTTTACACTTTACAGAGTATTTTACATACATTCTCATTCCGTGATGCTCTAATGAAGTAATATCATTAGTATCCCTATTTTACAAACAAGGAAAATAAGGTTCAAGTTATGAGATTTGCTCATTATCCCAGATCCAGGTCTCTGAATCCATATCCACTGTTTATCAGTTCAGTTTTCTTTGTATTATCTGCTGCCTCTTCTTCCCTAGCTCAGTCTCTCCCCTATGGATGTCAGGGGGAAAGAAAAAGAAAGATTGTTACAGAGAAGTTATTAATGGACTAGTGTTTGATACTTTGAGCCTCAACCTAATTTGGCTGTGTCGTTTCTGCCCTCTGACACCCAGTTTTCCCTGTTAGTGGAATAGGGATGCCCTTTTCCCTGCTCTTCTTGCCTAGCTGAATTCATGTGGAGGATATGGATCTGCACAGGAATACAAGAAGCCTTTTAAAGGAAGAACAAATATAAGGCTGTGGTTTGGGGTAGTAGAGTAGAAGCTCCAGGACTTAGGAGGGAAGGATGGCAGTGACCTGATTAGAACACACAAATCTTTGCTGCACACTACTGGTCTGTCTCCTCAATAGATAGCCTCCATTTCCTTTTAGCCCCAGATTATATTACCCATTGCAGATGGGTAGGGATAGACATTGGCTTCTTTTCTTAAAATCTCTAGGATCCTCATTCTATATTTGTCCATTATAGACAAAGTGGGGAGGTGTATGACTCCCTTTTGTTCAGTAAAATGATGATTCAGCTTCCAGGTGAAAGAGTAGATTGGGGCTAAAGACAGAATTCAATGGACTGATGCTACTGGCCAAATATACCCAGCACCCAGTTCAGTTCAGTCAGGGGGCCTCAGCTGTGGTGTTACTTGGGAGTCCTCGCTTCATACCTTGCACAAACCTGGCCAGTGTGCTTCGAGGCTTGTTTGGGGTTCTGAGATCCTACTTTTAAATAAGGTCTTTGGGGAGCTACATGTGGGAGGTAGTATAAATAAATGATAATTTTTTTCCCCATTCAAGTTGGATCTCCTTTTATTGCCCCTCTGTGCCCACTTAGGGTTTTAGGTCACTGGAAGCTCACTGTGAGACCACAGTGTGATCTGGCAGCTCAAAGATTTAAAGCGGTGTTAGATGATGGTGACAAAAATATCAAGTCCAGAACAACAGGATTACAGGACTACCCCAGTCTTCCCTAGTCAGGTCACATCTGGAACATTGTGTTTAGTTCTGAGGAGGAGGCTGACAAACTGGAGTGTGTAATGGGGGGGGTCATCGGGGTGATTATGAGTCTCAGAATCCTGTCTTAGGAAGATGAGTTGACATCCTGGAGGTGTTCAGTCTCGAAAAGCAAAGAATTAGGGGCACTATTTGTGCAGATAGTAATTTGAAAGGTTGTCGCATGAAAAGGGATTTTATGGGTAGCTATAGAGGACACAGGTAGGATCGGTGAACAGAAGTTGTGGGGAGGCAGATTTGGGGTGGCAGAAGGAACTTGAGTAACTGGAGCTGAAATTAGTGGGGCTACCTTAGGCTCTTGGAATGTTCAAGCAGATGCCAAACCACCATCTTTCAGAAACGTCCTAGAAGGGATCTCGAGAAATGTCAGTGTTCATGGGGCACAGAGGGAAGAAATGAGGTTGAGCTGCTCAGGAATCAACCTCATCTTCAGTAGCACAGGCTTGATAATCCCTGCTTCTGTGTTAGGAAACAAGCGTGGAAAGGTAAAGAAGGAAAAGCAGGGGGCATTGTGGAAGGAGTACTGCATTTGGATCCTCCTTCTGTTACCTAAGACCCTGTGTATAAGAGGCAGGAAGATTCTTAGTAGCTTTGGGACCCTAGGCAAGTAAGTCCCTTTACCTTTCTCACGCAGTTTCCTCCTGGTAAACTGGGGATGATAATAGTACCTACTTCTTAGAGCTGTTGTGAAGAGCTAATGAGGTAACCCTTGTTAAGCACCTTACAAACCTTGGAGTGCTGTATAAATGATGGCTATTACTATCTAAGGCATTTGATCTGGGGCAAGTCGGTTACTTTCCCTTGGCCTCAGTTTCCTTATCTGTAAAATGAAGTGGTTTCTAGCTCAAATTTATTAGGACAAGAGCCATTCCCCAGATGATGACTGGATAAAGGATATGAATAGGCAGTTCTTAAGGGAAGAAATCCAAACTGTCTCTCTAGCCACATGAAAAAAAAAATGCCCCAAATCACTGATAATTAGAGAAATACAACTCTGAGGTTCCACGTCACTCCCATCAGACTGACAGAGTTGACAGAAAGGAAAAATGACAAATGTTGCAGGGACTTCAGGAAAACAGACACATTAATGTACAGTTGGTAGAGCCATGAATTGGTGCAGCCATTCTGGAAAGCACTTTGGGTCTTTGCCCCAAGGGAGGGGCTTCATTTGTACAATCATCAAAGTTCTTCCCAGCTCTAAGTCATGTGATCCAGGTGTCTGAGGAAGGGCAAGAGAACTGGGTGCTAGTTTGCTTATCGGTGAGAAGGTGCATTCTCTTTCTCATCTTGCCCCCATCCCCATCTGGGTGTGTGCTGGGTGAGAGGTTCTTGGTTTATCCTGAGAAGATTGAGGAATTCGACAGCCTAGTTTGGGGGCCACTTTACAGTTAGTGTCCCCAGATTCCTTCTTCCTATGACCTGGCTTCCTTCTTTTCTTTTGGGCCCAGGAAGAATGTGGAGAAGCGAGCACTGTTAGAGAACATGGAAGGACTCTTCCTGGCTGTAGATGAGATCGTAGATGGAGGGTGAGTCTTGTGGGCTGGCTCTGGGTTGGGAAAGGAGGGGATTGCTCTGTTTCTTTTCTTTTCTTTTCTTTTCCTTTTTTTTTTTTTTTTTTGCCTTTTTGGTGAGGCAATTGGAATTAATTGGCTTGCTCAAGGTCACACAGCTAGTAAGTGTCATGTGTCTGAGGCCAGATCTGAACTCAGGTCCTCCTTACTCCAAGGCTGGAGCTATATCCACTGTGCCACCTAGCTGCCCCTGCTCTGATTCTCAAATCAGAGATTTCCCCCCCCTCCCCAATTCTCCTCTAATATAAGGCATTGTGTCAGTGGAGACGTCCCTATCTTTCCTGGGTGGGTCTTGTCCTGGGCACAGTGGGTGGAAGTTTCCTGTTTATCTCCACAGGGTGATTCTAGAGAGTGACCCCCAGCAAGTGGTACACAGAGTAGCATTACGGGTAAGTGCCTTCCTGCCCTGCAGGGCCAGACTCATTCCACACCTCAGTGCTTTCTGACTTAACCCTAGCCAAGAGCCTAGACTCAAAAAACCTCCCTTCCTACAGTGTCACATAGAAGGGGATAGGGAGGAGTTTCTCTCTAATGCTTAACAGAGTAAGGCACCTCACACATAGTAGCTGCTCAGTGTTTGCTGCTGCTGTTCCTGTTGCTTGTTGCTGTTTGTTCTTCATTCTCGAAGAGGACCGTGACATCAGGAGGGGATGCCATGACATGCAAGTGAATTGGATTTAAGCGAGGGAGAGCTGTGCAGAGTCACCAATCCACTTTCTCCTCCGGAGCCATCTGAGTCCAGTGGCTAGATATGGATCAGAACAACTGGAGATGCAGTGGAAGACCTTGGCCTTTTCAAGCTAAGGTCTTTAACACGTCTCAGTTTGACTGAGGCAGCGCCCATTTCAGTGATTAAGGCTTAATAAAAAAATGAGGCAAGAATGGTCTCTTTAAAAACAAAAATTAGATCTGGGAGGGGAAGACCCTCAGGGTTTCTGGCCAAAACAGAAACAATTGTTATTACATTCATTCTGAGCCGGTCAGGGCCCAAACAGTGACCAAATAGGGCTTGGTCTGAGACCAGAGTGATTTGGGGTTAAGGCTGGTCTTTAAAAAAAACAAAACAAAACAAAACAAAAAAAAGTTTCAGAGATTAAAATTTGTATTCCCTTTGGTCAGAGCACCAGCAGGTAGGGGTGGGTACCCTATGTGGATCGAGAAGAAAGAAAAAAAAAAAGAGAGAAAGAAAGAAAAGCAAGCCATGTTGCCCAGCTGGAAGTTTGGTCCCCAGTGGGCAGTTCCTTCTCTGCTCACAGAGGTTGCCATGACATGCGGGTGAATTCTCCACTTGTCTTGATCCACATCTGGCCTCTGGACCCAGAAGGCTCCAGAGAGAAAGTGGGGCTGATGACTTTGCACAACCCTCCCTCAACTAAATCCAGTTCACTTGCATGTCAGAGCTGCTCAGTGAATATTTAAATGAATGAGTGAATCTATAGTATTCAGAGCTTTGGAGCTAAAAGGGAACCTGACAGGTAATCTCGGTATTCAGAGATATTCAGAGAGGTATTCCAGCCATCCCAGATAGATGGGAACTTTCCCTTTGTTTTCAAATCTATTGAGTTAGAAACTCAAGAGTCACCTCCTGAATTACCTTTTCTAATCTTTCTAGCAAGGAGTCTTTTTCTGCATCTTTCCATTTGCTAGAAATCCTAAAAGGAGACATTTGGGGTAAAGAGGGAGTATACTTGTACTTAGCACTAGGGGCAGGTGCAGGAACATCACAATAGCAAGTTATAGTGAAGGAATGGAGGGGTTGGGGAAGCAAATTTGACTCCCCATTCTAGGAATGTCCCGACTCTGACCTCCACAAAGCAGAAGCTGACAGTGCTGGGTAATGGGAAACGTCTTCTGCCTTAACTGCCACAGGCTCCATTTGCATAGTTTAATCTTCTTCTGTAACATATGTCTCCATGTGGAAAGAGGGAGGGTCTTCCCCCACCCCACCCTCACTCCCCCCTTCCCTTCTTGGGCTGCTGTTGCAGCAGTTTATTCAAATTAACATGCTGTCGTAACCCCTCAGGGCCCGCCGCGTCCCCTAAAACCCACCCCCCCCCCCCCCCCCCCGCTCTCCCAGCCCTCCCCTCATCCCTTCCCCAATGAGATTGATATGGAAAAATTTTCTGTGACTGGGAAGTCAGCAACCCCCTCCCACCAAAGGCTGAGGGAAATGGAGATCAGAAAACCCAGGTGGGCTAGATCTTTTTATAAGGTCATCCTGCCCCTGAAGCAGGGGCTGGGTAAAATAAGTTCCTTAATCATATCTGTCCCTGTGAGATGGTTCAGCCTGTTTTATACCCCTTTCTCTGGGATGGGACAGAGTCAAAGTTATCTATCTTCTCACTAGACTTCAGTTTAAGGAAAATCTTTCTTCCCATCCCTCTTGCCCCCACCAAAGCCTGTTAGGCTCCTTTCCCCCAGAAGATTTTGCTCTAGCTTTGTACTTTGACTGCCTGTTTTTGTTACAGGGTGAAGATGTCCCCCTCACGGAGCAGACTGTGTCTCAGGTATGTTCCTGACCTCCCTCCTTTACCTCTACCTAGGACTCCCCAGTCCAGGGGACAGATGGGAGACGGGCAATCTCTGCCCTAGAGTAAGACAGCCTCCATCCTCTGCTCAGCGCCCCCATCGCAGAGACCTGAGATCGCCCAATCTCCTTCCCCTCCCACCAGCACCCCAGTTTTCTGTGACCGATAGCTCTCAGTCTTTCTCTGTACCCTTCAGACCCTCCCAGCCTGCAGCCTCACCCGGTGATTTACTCCCCAGCAGAGGCTTGCCTTAAACAGATGGTCTTTGTGCTCCCTCTCTCTTATTATTCAAATGAGGGCAAAGCTGGGAATGCACATTCCAGAATGTGCAGGTTTGACAGATCCATCCTTCCCTGGTTTCAGCTATCACTTGTCTTACCTGATACAGGGGAGGGACTTTGTTTTCTGCCTGCTGGGAATTTTTATCAGGAATTGTACCTCAGAGCCCATTTTTCTTGGCATTTTCCCCAGCTTATGTGTTCTTTTCCCTCAAGTTTTTTTCTTTGAAGGGTTCAGAAAACTAATGGGCTATCCACAGTTGCCCTGCGTCTTAGAGCTGGATATGGCTTCCCATAACCCCTACGGTATTTTTAATATCCTTTCATAAACTAAGGAAGCTAGGCTTTGGAGGGAAGTAAAGAGAGTAGGAAACTCAACCCCAAGAAAAAATGGGAAGGCCCCCATTTTCCCCAACCAAGTTCTCATTGTGGGATGCTCCTGTGTCTGCAGGTATTGCAGTCAGCAAAGGAACAGATCAAGTGGTCACTGCTTCGGTGAAGACTCCATTACCCCCCTGCTCCCATCATCCCTCCCCAAGCCATTTGTCTACTGTGATGCCCCCACTCCCCCATCCTCATCCCTCTTGCACTGATGATCTCAGGGCCACTTCAGGGGAACAAGGGCCTTCTATTCTCACCACTTTTCTTTGCCTTCTCTCTCCTTTTTTCTCCTCTTCCCAAAATTATCCTGAAGACCAAAAACTAGGATTAAACAAAGAGAGGGGTTATGTCTTTCCAGCTTTCTCATCTCTCCTGTCATTCAAGCAGTGAGGTTTCTGGAAGTGGCCCAGGCCCTGGCAGAGCTGGGAACAGAACAGGGGACCAGAATGGTGCCCCCAGATCAAAGCTTTAGAAAGAATATGCTGTTTTCCTCTTCTGGTCTCACCCTGGCCCTCATCCCAATACAGGGAGAAGAGGAATAGTTCTATCCAGAGGCCCGCAGATTTTATCAGTCTCTCGTATTTCCTCTTATTCCTGCTTACTACCCCCAGCCTTCTAGAGAAAGGAAGAAATCAGCTTTCAGAGAGAGGCAGGCAAGACAGCTGCTGACAACACTCTTAACTGGGATGGGATAGGGGTTGGGAGAGGAGGGTGGCAGTAGAGGAGGGCACTGCTTTTCCTGTTATTCACTCTAACTCTCCCTAACTCCCATTCCAGGCCTGATTTATAGGTGCAAACTATTCTGTGGCCTGGGAGAGAGTGCATCTTGGGGGTCTCTGTTGCCTAGTCAGTCCTTGGTAAATCTCCACAAATGGGGTCTTGTACACTATGTTCCCCAATTCTGGGACAGAGCCAGTCTCCTGGATGATAAAGCTCAGCCACCAGTCTCTGGAAGACGGGTTTTCTGCTTAGAACTTGGGTGGGGGCTAGATTTATGTCTCTCATCTTCTGGGTTCCTTCTGCCCCCATCGTGGTCCTATACATTTGAGATATGTGTTTCAGCCTTGTGTCTGTAGACCCTGATCTTAACCCTTTCCCCATCTTGCTGGCCTTTCCTCAGGCCTGCTGGGCAACAGGATATAGGATTCTTTTGGGGTTGGGGTGGGGGGGGTGTAGAGCCAGTGAGAAAAAGTTAGAATTACCCTTATGAGACTCGGGTTGGGGTAAGGTGAAGATTTATCTTCAAAGACACCCGAGGGGGCTGGTTTGGAGCTTTGTTCTCCCATTTCGAAGCCTCTGTCAAATACAGTCACCTTCAGTTAAATCAGTGAGCTTTGAGGTTCCCTGGGAAGGTAGAAGATCGACCACCACCCTTCGGTGTGACCTTGCTCCTTGACTCCATATACCATCGGCTCCCCTAAGAAGCAGACCTCTGTTCCCTCTCCTGCCATTGTCCTGAGTCTGAAATATTCACAGCTGCCCACCCCCGATTTGCAACATTCCCAGCAGAAAAGAAGATCTGGAGAAAGATGGGGACAGGGGCAGGCTTATGGGAAATAGAGGGCAGCTGCCCAGGGACCCTACTCTGCACAAAAGACTGGGAATAAAGCATCTTTTTTTTTTTCCTGAATTGCCTTTGGTGTATTTTTGGGGGGAGGTGCCCCTCTTCTAGATAGCTACTGTGCTTACTCTTCCAGCCCTCTCTAACCTTTCAACATTTCTTTCTCCCACCTCAGGAATTTCCTTTACCCCTTTCTTGAAACATAATTTACAGGGTTTTTTTTCCCTCCACATCCCTCTGTCCCTTCACCTAGAAATGAGCTCAAAGGGTGGGGTGGAAATGGTGTTTTCCTCTATCTGGGGTCCAAAGAGCTGAATTCTTCCTCCCTCCCACCTTCCCTTCTCCTCCGCTTCCTCCCCCCTGCCCCCAGCTGCCTCCTTCCTGTGCCATCAGTAACCAGGAGACATGCACCTGCATGGGGGCTGCTACAGCAGACAGGCTACCCTTCCTGCACCTCCTCCCCTTCCCTGAGCCCACTGCCCCCCCTAAAATGGTGCTGAGCGGGTTATTTATCGGAGCCAGCGCTGCTCCAGAAGGTCAGGACGGTGGTGTAAATAACCTCTTCTCACAAGCTCCCCTGTGCCTCCTGAGCCCTGCTTCCCCTCCTCGCCAGCCCCCTCCCCCCACCTTTATTTCGCACAAATGAATGTGGCTTGGGCTGGCGCAGAGCCTGGCCCTGCATGTTAATGGGGCGGTGAGCTCACAAGATAGATTTAGCTGGAGGTTTTATGGTTGCCTCGGTGACAGAGTAAGGTTTGTTTCTCTTCCCACTCCTCCCTCTTCTCTGTTTTGGGGGGAAAACCACTCCCCCCCATCGTACTCATTTAATTGTAGAGTTGGATTTTCCCCACTCAGGAGCTATGCGACTGGCACCAATAGTATGCAAAGCTGGCTAGATTTAGGATTTGGGGATCTTTGGGAAACAGCAATAGGAGAACCCCGGGCAAGATCTGCTTCAGGGTCACTTGATTATTTGGGCTCACTGCTTTCTGTGCGGTGGACTGCTCCTTCTGAAGCCACAGAGCTGGACCAGGGGGCAAGCTGAGGAAGCCTTAGGAATTGGACCAATTCCCATTACCCTCCCCACCCCTCCTGCATCTAAAATGTGGGGCTCAAGATGGGGTAGGCGCAGCTCCACGGGGCTGATGGTTAGCTACCAGTGCCCTCTCCTGTCTGAGCTTAAGAAATGCAACTTCCCTCCAAACCCCTTCAACCCCCACTCTTTGATTTGCACTGTTTGCTAAGAGGGCACCCTGCCTCCATCCCCCAAAGCCCTGAACTTATGGCTCTAGAAGACCAGGTCTGGAAGCCAGACATCTGGGTTCTGATCAGACCCATCCTCAGTTTCCCAACCGAGTCAAACCTCAACTGTCTTCCTTTCCTGCCTCCCCTCCCTCACCAGGACTAGAACCCCAGTATTGTGGCACCTATGTCTTACTTCTAGCTGTCAGTATTCCCAAATAAGTTTGTCCGTAGTGGATTGAGGAAGGAGACTGGAGAACAGAATGCCCGGGTTCTAGCTCAGTAAGCGACTTTCACCTTGAGTTTGTCTTTGTCTGATTGTTTCTGTCAGGTTTGTTTTTTCTTTCTCCATCTCACTGCATCTCTGCCTGTCTCTGCGTATGTCTTCTCACCCCTCTTCAATTCAGCTTTATAAACTTAGCCTTTATCAACCCTGAGGGGACTCTGGCAGGTCCTCTTCCCACCCCCAGCTTTTTTGGCTGGGAAATCAACTGCAGATTTAATTGTGCCAAACACCTGCCTGCCAGATGTGGCAATTCCCCCATTCATCTCTCCCCCCAATTCTACCCTTTCCCCACCCTACTGAGCACAGACAGGGTGATCCCCCCCACAGGGTGATTTAGTGCTCCCTAAACCCCTTAGATCTCTTTCCTCAAGTTCCCCCACAGCCCCTATCCCTCTCCACACAGTGTCCCTTAGCCCTAGGCCCCCTGATTCCAGTGCTGCTGGCCCCTCTTCCTCTTTACCATTATCCCCCAAGGGCTCCCCAAGCTCCTGCTTTTCTCCCTGGTGAAGTCTTTCCTTTGCCTTTAGTTCACCCCAGTGATGTGTCATCAGCAGAGCCAGTGGGCCATTGGGGGCAGAAGCAGCCAAAGCTGATGTCATTTCGGTGGGGAGGGGGAATAGGGCAAGGGGGGAGGTCTGGGAGGGGACAGGCAGCTTTAGTTTCTGTCTGCGGAGGAGACAAGGGTGTCTGGAGTTTAGCCAGACCCAGCCAAAACCTGCCTCTCTTCAGACCTGGCATCTGGCTCCTAGCAGAGTCTGAGTTTATGTTATCTATTTGTGTTTGTCTACCTAGATCTCAGTTTGGCTCAGAGGATATCTCTCAGCCACTATCTCCAGGGGATCGCCTCCCACTACATTGGACCCTGTTCAGCTTCATCTCTTATTCCACTCCTCTTTCTTACCCCTCTCTAAGTTTTCTGCCTTTAACATTGGCTTTCAATCTGTTTCCTCCCTCCTTTCCTACTTTAGTCTCTTCCACTAGGACAAGCATTCTTAACCAAGGGTCCACGGACCCTTAAGGAGTCCATGAATAGATTTCAGGAGTCCATGAACTTGAATGGGAAAAAAAATTTACATCTTCTTTTTCAATAACCTCTAACTAAAATTTAGCATTTTCTTCAATTGTTTAAAAACACGATTCTGAGAAGGGATCCATTGGTTTTACCAGACCACCACACAAAGAAAGGTTAAGAATCTCTGATCCAGACTCTCCTGGCCTGAACCCCTTATGTGACTCAAACACGAAAGTTCTCCTGTGGTACCTGATTCTTGGGGTCTCCCTGAAGCTGTAGGTGCTAGGGTAAGGAAAAGGGGAAAGGGAAGGCTAAAACAGGATAAGAAGGAAGAGGTTAGGGGGATGGTTTGAATAAGGAAGAGGCAGACTACCAGATGGAGAAACAGGAAGAAAGGGGGTAGAGGGGAGAGAAAAATACAAGAGATTGAGAAAGGAATAGATTGAGAAGGCATAGGGTAGAGAGAAACACCAAAGAAAGGGGAAGTCTGAGAAAGGAGACAGAAAAGATATTATTAAGGAGGGGATTGAAGGCCCGGTGGGAAAAGTGTCTTTACTGGGGCTGGCTAGTTCTGATGGCCCATAAATCCTATGTGTATTTTGGGGGAAGGGGCAGCACATTCCCACAGTATTCCCATTATATGGTGACCTTCCTTAGCTTTTTTGCCTCAAGCCCACCCCTCTCCTCCATCTCCCTGGCATTCCTCATGCTGTGGAGGCTATTCCCATGTTTTCCCATCTCTTCCCAGAAATTTTGGGCTGCTCTTTTGGAATGTTGGCAGGCCAAATGCTGCAGCCTGAATCAATGAAGCAGAGAGGCCCCATTCCCCCTGGGGGGGGGGTGCACTTCCCTTTCCCCCTCTCCTCCCCGGCCCCTCAGTGCCTGCCCACCAGCTGTTCCTGACCATCTCTCCCTCTTCTTCCCCCTTCCTTCTTTTGCTTCTGTTTCTCCTACACACACCAACCCCTCCCCCTACACATACACACTCACTCCCAACCTCTGACCCCCAGCCTACCGGGGCGGCTGGGAGAGAAAGACAAAGGCAGGATTTATTGTTGGGGGTGGGGAAGTGGACTGGAGGAAAGGGTTGGGGGCAGTGACCCTGACTG